GGCGAAAATGACGATCAATAACATTCCCCATGTAATTTTACATATAAAATGACAGCGATCTTCATTTCATAGCCATCGCTGACACCGTTTTTTTTTCGATCGTACGGTATTAAGATGTTATAAAGTATTTCCAAAAAAATCCTTTATGGGTATTTTGCCACTGCACTGCAAGAAAATCTACAAAATAAAATAATTATTTTTTGTAAACACTTCTGCGTTAAATCTAAACGGATGCTGCTAGTCAGAAGTTATGTTTATAGTATTACAAATTTGCCTAACAAAGAAAAAAAATGCTTAACGTTTCGGAAAGTTATCTCTTTCCGTCGTCGGAAGCAAAAAAATACAAAGAAAAAAGAAAAAAACTATTTAAAATATTGAAATTCAACTATTCGAGAACACTTTACTTTTTTAAAACAGATATGTCTACAAGAAACCGTTGACGTTCTGTTAAAATGACATTTTTAACTTGATATTTTAACTTCAAATTAACAATTACTACCTGATAACAATTACTTAATAAGGTAAAACCAAAAAGCCCCAAACTTTCTGTATGATTATTTTTAAATTTTACGTATGTTATGTTTATTTATCTTGTTGTATCTATTGTTATTTAAAATCAAAGAAGCGATTGACATACATTACTAACATCTACAGATGCATGAGCAATAAATTTATTTTTATTAGATTGAACTAAAAAAGCCTCTTTTATTTTTCTTTTAGAGGCTATCGCTTCTTTCATTATAATTTTGGTGTTATTAAAATTTATTCTGTGCCCTGTGTCCCAAGAATGTCCCAAATGTTTTAATTCAATCTAATAAAAATAAATATATTGCTCATGCATCTGTAGATGTTAGTAATGTATGGCAATCGCTTCTTTGATTTTAAAGAACATAACATAAATAAACATAACATACGTAAAATTTAAAAATAATCATACAGAAAGTTTGGGGCTTTTTTGTTTTACCTTATTAAGTAATTGTTATCAGGTAGTAATTGTTAATTTTGAAGTTTAAATATCAAGTTAAAAATGTCATTTTAACAGAACGTCAACGGTTTCTTGTAGACGTATCTGTTTTAAAAAAGTAAAGTGTTCTCGAATAGTTGAATTTCAATATTTTAAATAGTTTTTTTCTTTTTTCTTTGTATTTTTTTGCTTCCGACGACGGAAAGAGATAACTTTCCGAAACGTTAAGCATTTTTTTTTCTTTGTTAGGCAAATTTGTAATACTATAAACATAACTTCTGACAAGCAGCGTCCGTTTAGATTTAACGCAGAAGTGTTTACAAAAAATAATTATTTTATTTTGTAGATTTTCTTGCAGTGCAGTGGCGAAATACCCATAAAGGATTTTTTTGGAAAGATGAATCCGCCACATAGATATAGACATTTGTTATAAAGTATGTCCGGTATATTTTTTCCCTTGAGAAAAATGTTTATTTTAAGCTAAAAATTAGCATAACCTTCCGTGTGCGGTGTCTTCATAATTCATAACAAATACATAGTGGAAAATAACTATAGAAGATTTTTTTAATGTCTTGTTAAAATTCAAACTTTTCAGAGCGCCATATGTTCAATTGGGTCTGAATCGTTTAACCTAATTTATTTATGTATTGCTATGAAATTAAATCTAAAAACAAATAGTAAGTTCGTTATTTAAACTTCTTTATTTTATTTGATTTTAACTAATTTTAGTGTAAAAAAAAATCTTGCCACCCTATCTCCGTTAATTTTGCTCTGAGCAAAAAAAGTATAGAGACTATTTCTATGTAAAATTTGACGCTCCAGAACTTTTTATTGAACTTTATTTTCTAGTTCTTACGGTTTCTCCCAAATTTCGAAAAAATAATTTTATTTATTTATTTCACCCCTTCTCAGCGGTGAACTTAAAAAATCTTTCACCATTCGTTTTTAGATCTTTCAAAATACCTCATATAAAAAAATCAAGTTTTTACCAAAACTTCGTATTTGAAGGCTTATTTTCTGGGACTATATTCAGATAATAAAAACGGGATTTGGTATGTTAGTAGAATGACATAAATTTAGGATTGATTGTGATATAGTCAATTGTTTGATTTTAAATGACACCCTCAGTATTTTTTTTACCTCATTTGATAGAAAATGGCATTCTGAATAGAATGACAGATAAAGGAAATAAATTTAGATTGGAAAGTCCGTCGCGAAATTGTTTTGGGTCGCGACCGTTATACGCGATCTGCCGTTGCTAAGAACAACCGCCAAACAATAACAGAAATAATTTTCTCTTGTCAAAGTCAGAATCTTTAAAAATTATATAATCTTTCAAAATTTAAACCGCCCTCATTGAAAAAATACCGAAAAGTATTAGGGTAAGTCCGGTACAGATGCCCCACCGGGTGAGATGGCAGCGTGTAAATTTCTAATCATGTGACTTATCAGTTGCTTCCCGCTAGATACAGCAATAGTTCAGCTGCTGCTGTTATGGTCTGACATAATTTGAATGTCAAAAAAAAAATAGGCTAGTTTTTACAAAGAACTGTTTCTATATAAGTACATATTTTTTTACTGTCAGAGGTCGAGTGGGAATAACGTAATATTAGGTAAGTTTTTGGTATTTCATGCCGTTTTATATTAAAATACATGCTTCGTGAAGTATCATAACTTCAAAAAATTACTCATATGTCGCTGCATTTTAAAACCTTGAGGTGGGGTATCTCTCCCATCGTATTGGGAGAGATGCCACATAGAAAGCTGGTAAAGATTCCCTACTAATTTATTTACTAAAAAGTAACTTTGTTTAATCATGCCTACTGAATATAAAATAAAATGTCCCGAAAGCGCTCAGTGGTTTGAAAAATCATTGGCTGCTGCATTGCAAGCCATTAATACCGACCAAATGGGCATAAAAACATAATGCATGCTTTTGGAATCCCTGCAAGGACTTTGAGACGTAGGGAGGCAAACGACAACACAGAAAAAGCATAGGGCCATCCTCAACTTTTGGATATTAGTTAAAAAAATAAAAAATAACCTTAGATATTTAACCAATACGTATATGTATTTTTTTGCGGGGCATTTCTCCCATGTTGGAAGGCCATCTCTCCCGCAACGTAGGGAGAGATGGCCAGTTTTCTTTTTTTTTATTGTTCTCTTACTATTATATATACTTACTTATTATATTACTATCTTAGTCATCTTATGAATTATTATTAAAGATAGTTTAGGATTGCATTATTAGTTTCATTTAAAATTAACTACCAATATGTATTATTAGCCCCAAAAGAAAAGTGGGGCATCTCTACCGGACTTACCCTAAAAGTGTCCATTCTCAAGGTAATTATTACTATCTTGTGAGTTTAATTTAAATTTTATTTACTCTAACCCGTGATAATTGTGAAAAAGTGGCATTAAAAACTTAAAAAGCTGTGTTGTGAACTGCAAAAACCATCGTGGTTCGTGGCATAACGTCAGTTTCCAATTTTTCATAGATATTTCATACATGTCCTTATGTAAAATAAAGTTTTTTTGTATGCAACACACTGTATTTTATTTATAAAATTAAAAGAAAATAATAATAAATTTGAGTATATAATTTGGCGACATAATTGCGGAAAAAGCCGAACCGATCCAAAATTATCAAAAGCTTTGGGTCGTGACCGTTGCAAGAATAGCGCCAAATAGTATTTACATTGTCCTTATGGGCACTTTCCAATCTAAACTTGATTCATTTATCTGTGAGTATGACATACCTATGTAAACTTTTGACACTTTCAGTTATAAAAAGTAGCATTTTAAATTTGAATTTAGACCATAAATGTAACGACAATTTGACTCGAAATACCAAGTATGCGGTACCAAAATAACGACAATTTGACTCGAAACACCAAGTGTGTGGTCAAGCCAATGATGCTGATGGCTCACTAATAGTGTGTTCTTCGGTCACTTCCTGTTTCGCCAGAAATGGCTACAACTTTTGATTTTTAAATAACACCCTCGGTATTCTTTTACTTCCTTTGATAGTAAAAAATTACATTCTGAATTATATATTGTCAACTTTTGATATTTTGAATTTAATAAAAATGGCATTTTAAATTTCAATTTAGAGATATAAAATGTGTGGTAGCAAATTATTCGTAAAAATATGGTTTTTCCAAATATGCTAATGGCCTACGTTAGTTCCATTTGAAAAAATAATTTATGATTAAAAATACGATTTAGGCATCTTTTAACCGGCCAGACACGAAGACACGAAAAACATTAGATAATCAAATCTATTTTTCCAAGTCTCCTTGATTAAAAATTAGCGTTTTTAACACAGCCATGGAATTCTAGCTTAATTTAAAATACGATTTTTTTAAGAAAGAATGTCAAAAGTTTACATATAATGACGAATCGTTTGAAAAAAAAGATCAACGGTGCCGTTTAAAAATCACCAGTTGTAGTCAAATGTACCAAATCTCGTTTATTTATCTGAAAAAAAAATTAAAAAAAATGTTTTTCCGCATTATAGTATCAAGTTTTGAAGTACAGTAAAACAGTAAATAGTGCTAAAAAAGATGATAGATTCATCATCATTCCAATTTCATCGTTGCAGCAAAAGATGACATTTTCATCATCATTCCAGCAAAAGATGACAGATTCAACATCTCTTCTACTCTAGCTTAGATACCGTATATTTGCGATTGCTGGCGTTTCCCTCAAATTTCTGTCTATTTTATTACATTGTTTTTAATTTGAGAAAATTTTCATGTTTTTATTAACATCTTTTTTTCGCAAAAAAACTCATCGGCGTGTTTTTGGGGTCCAACTATACTACCAGTTAAAATAATTGCACTTATTTCTAAGTCACCCTGTATAGTTATTCATTTTATAAACCTGAATACACCGTAATAGTATTTATAGTTTGTTGTACGCGTATTAGAAAGCTTACACGTACTAAGTGAACTCTGTCACTAAACTAGATTAAACCGTTAGAGTGCTTATATTATTACACTACTAAAACAATTTAAATAATTATTTTTAGAATCCCGAAAGAAGAAAACATCAGGAGGCATGATGACAAAAATAATGCCGATGTTGGTGACGCCGTTCATTATGCAGACAGCTATGATGCCAATGATGCTGATGGGTCTGAAATTTATGCTCACTAATAGTATGTTCTTGGGAAAGTTAGCTATTATATTTTGGATTATAACTTTACTAAAGAATAAAATGGAGGATGATGAAGGACAGTTTTACAGTCACAATATACATTTGAAACCCTAATTAGGCCATAATATATTCCTCTTCGATTTATTTATTTATTAAATAATATATTATGTTACGGTTAAAGTCCGATATCAGGTTAATGTCTACATTAACAGGTTAATGTTTGGGTTTGGTTATGTTTTTGGTTGTTTTGTTGTGTGTTATTCTCGAGATTAACCGGGTAATGTCAATATTAACCGAATATCGGACTTTAACCGTAACATATCCATGGTGTTCCTTTTTGATTGAAATCATACAGTATCTCCATTATTACAGCAGATAGAAGGATGCGGTTTTAGACAAATCTGCACACTTTTTTGTCAAACGGAATATGATGTAAACAAAATGTTCATAGCCCTCTTCTTTTCTGAGCTACAAGATCTTTTTGAAAATTTTGCAATATAGAACACTCCCTTATCTTTGTTATTGTCAAAGGTTTGGAGAAGGTGAAATTGGGTATTTGCAAATCTTGGAAGCTATCCTACCAGGTCTTTTATAGAACATTCCTTTACCTAATTTACATGAAATATGTTTTCAGTAAGATGGGGCTCCCTCTCACAACTTTGACAATATTAAAAATTTTTTAAAGGGCTATTTCCTAAGTCATTGCATTAGGTCGATGGACCCATGCGATGGCCTGCCGGATACCAGGATTTATCCGTTCTCGATTTATGTATTTAAGGAATTTTGAAAAATAAAATATATCCACTATATTTTTCCACTCTTCAACATTGTTGTGGTTGCCAACAACAATGTTGAAGAGTGGAAAAATACTATCCGGCAAGCTTTTAGATATTTGCAAACCCCTTTTCGTTATAATAAATGCCGTTATAAAGAGAGAAAATATATATTTAGAGATACCTCTCACAGCTTACTAATAAGAAAATGATATTTTTTTAAATATTGTAGTAAATAGTAAAGTAATAATAAAATAATAAAGTAAATAAATATCAGATTGTTATGTATTTTTAAAAAGCTTTTGGCCAGCTGGATCGTAGATTTATGACAGTGTGTTCTATTTGAGAAAACATAACTTTAATTCATATCGTGAAAAATATATTTTTCGTAGAAAAAGAGACTACGCCACTGTATTATAAGTAAAAAGTTCTACAAGAAACAGTTTTCACCTTCTCGATACCTTTCGCTTGACGGAGATACTGAGGGTGTCCCAAATTGGAATACTTTCTTAAAGAACTTGTAGCTCCGAAACGAAGAGGGCTATAAAATTTTTGTTTACAGCATCTTCCTTTTTACATGAAAGTGGTACAGATTTTGTGCAAACCGGATCCTCCTATTTGCACTAATAACGGAGATACCGTATGATCTCAACCAAAATGGGACACCCTGTACATAGATTATTTAACGTTACTGAATAAATAATATTAAATAAATATCACATAAAAGAGCATTAGGCAATAAAAGTACCTGCATTAAATTATTTATAAATAAGTTAATTATAAATGCACTATACAGAGTGGTCCGAACTGTATTCCGGAAACTTTGGCAGCATATTCTGCAGGTAAAAATAAGTAAAAAAAATAAATAAGTATAAATGTGTGTCCTAAAATGCTTAGTTTCGGAGATACAGGGTATAGAAATTTCATATTTATTTGAATTTTTTCCAATTAATTTCTGAAGTAACCTCAATATTTTGAAAAAAATTGGCGTCCGGTAGTTTTTTGATATGAGAAATTTGATTTTGATGTCAATATGACTCCTATTTGTAGGGGGCGCCACCTACTGTGTTTTATCTGTTTTGATGAGTAATAACTTTTCGCCGTACCTGTATAAAACTACTGTATGAAAATATATACATTTCCGTGACTTTTTACGTAAAAAATGTCACTTGGTTAAAATTGTTACGACCAACCGTTCTCAAGATATTTAGAATGGAAATAGTCAATACATGTCAATATTGACAAAAAATTAACAGTTGAGTAGATAGTTATTTAACTGAAATTATTAATTTGGGAACTTTTTTTTAATTAATCCTAAATTTTTCTTCCAAAAAAATGATTTTTTAAGATATTACTCTTCAAACCAGTTAAAAATATGTAGGCGGCGTCGTCTACAAATAAGAGTCATATTGAAAATCAAATTTCTGATGTCACAAAACTTCCAGACACCAATTTTCATCTAAATATTGGCATTACTTCAGAAATTATTTGGAAAAAATCGAAATAAAAATGAAATTTCTACACCCTGTATCTCCGAAACTAAGCATTTTAGGACATCTATTTATACGAACAATTTTACTCTGTGACTAAACCAGATTGAAAATACAGTTCGGAACAGTCCGGAATACAGTTCGGACCACCCTGTATATTTAATAAACTTTCTTGTAAAATAAATATATTTAAAAAAATATTCATGATATATTGTAATATTTATTAATCTTTAATACATTATGTATTAATTAAAATTGTTTAAATTATTTGATGTAAATTTACAACTATATGACGGAAAACTCGAAATTCACCTATTTAATTTTTTTGTTAATATTTTTCACCACTAATGAGATACTAAAAAACAAATCATTTGTTCTTAAAAAATACTTAATTATACGAATTGTCACATTCTACTTACTCAGCGCCGTAACAGACATAGGTACATATGTATCAATTTAAGTATGTCCTCCTTTTTGAGAAATTTTACAGTTTAACAAAATAAATTACTTCGTGTTATCTTAATAATGTAATTTAACATTTTGATTTTCTTATTAATATAATGTTGTAAACGGAAAATATATTTTAATAAATATGTAAAATAGAATATTCTTCGTATTTTATTTAGTCTTGTAATAAATAAAAACATAATTTATAAATCACTTACGAATTATTACTACTGTAAAAATTATAATTAATCTATTTGAAACTTTTATACAGGTGTAATCTTTAATTTAACACTTTAATATTAGATTATTAAAATTTTATAATTCTGTTTTACATTTATATTTTAACTCTATTGGATTAATATTATCAGTCAAAGTTGTGTTGGTTTTTGATCTTCGGTTTGAATCTTGCTAATTCAAGAAAACTGTGTGCCAAAGAAAAGTTACATGGCCTAAACGTGAAAAAAAAATGATTTGATCGCTATTGAACACTAGACTACCACCTCTTCTAGTAAAGGTCGGGAGTCTACCTCTAGACCCAACAAGCGACATCAGCTACCGTTTCGTCTACCCGGCTTGGGTCAACCAGGCGGGTTAGACGATCCGCTGAGAGTAGGTCTTAGCGGAGCATAAGCACGGAGATACCTCCGACTACTCCACGAAGGACTTGCTCCGGAGGAAGCAAAAGCCAAAACTCTCCTTGAAAAAGGAACCAATACCACCAAGAAACAACCTGGCGCATCTCCACCAAAGAGCAAGAGAGGGAGCGAAAACCTCTCCCCTTTGCTCCGACAAGGAGAGAAAAAAGCAAGGATGAAAAGCCGTCCCACACCGAGAGGCAAACAGGGGCGTATCACTAGCTATGCCGCTATTGCTGGACAAGTGAAAATAGCGGTGCTGCCAAAGGATTATCCGGAGGTTGCACTGACTACCAATCAGCAAACGGCTCTAGAAGAGCCGATACTGGACGAAGTAGTAGCGAGCGGATTGCGACTCAACGATCCACAAAGTGTGGGTGAGCTGCGCTTTGCGGGGATACACTGGTGGGCATGATCCTCATAGATTGTGCATCTGAAAAATCGGCGGATTGGTTGGTGGAATCGGTGGAATTGACAGGGGCCGGGACTGGTTGCAATGAGGGGAGAAAACATCCCTAAAGACAACCATCACAGTCTTTCTGCCCAGAAGCAAGGGGAAAGACACCACCTACCTGCTAGACCTTATCCAGGCTCAGAACGAGAATGTGAGTACATCGAGCTGGCGAGATATAACCTCTAAAATAGATTCGGGACGGTACCGGTATCATGTCCAAGAAGAGAACAAGCTAAAGAGGGGGAGAAAATGGAGACAAATACTAAATACTCCAGCCTCCACATCACAGATACCTTAGCCGGAGAAAAGCTCCTCGATTGTGAAGGACACGGATGGCGAAACTCCAACCGTGGAAGGGTGTATATCCTCTAGGAGGTTGATCACCACTCCTCGGAGGAGGAACATCTGTTGTCAGGGGGGGATGGGAAATACCCTGTCCTCCCTACAACAGGGGGATCCTTACATACCCCAGAAACCCTTTTGCATGGAATATCCCAAATGAACCTGCACCATGCAAAAGGGTCTTTCGCCACAATCACGCGTGGCTGTTTTTCCCAAGACTCTTTGGGAAAAACGCCCAGGAACCCTGGGTGTATCAGGGACAAATTAAAGGGTTGTCTGGAAAAAATTCCAGTGTAATATATGATAACAGGCAAGAATTTCCCCGAGCCTGTATTCTTATAAGAAACAACATTAACTACACATGTGTTTCAGAATTTACAACCCGAGATCTTGTTCCAATCATGGTTCAACTTAATATCGAGGATTGTAGCAAAAATATCGTAATTGCCTCTGCATACTTTCCGGGTGATGGGCAGACACCGCCTCCGGAAGTAGAGGAGCTCGCGCGATTCTGCAGCCAACGGCGACTACCTCTGCTATTGGGATGTGACTCCAATACGCACAATGGGGTATGGGGAAGCACTAGTACTAACACCAGAGAGTGTTTACTAGAATTCCTCTTAGTACTAACACCAGGTGAGTGTTTACTAGAATTCCTCTTAGCATACAATCTTGAAGTTCTAATATAGGGAACACCCCACACCCGTGACAAAAACGCGGGCGGAAGTATTAGATTTAACAATCGGGAGCACTAGTGTAACTAGTTACGTGACAGATTGGAGGGTCTCAACGGAACCTTCCCTATCAGATCACAGAATCATCGAGTTCAAATTAGGAGGAATCATACTCCAAACTGAAATTCGAAGGAATCCAAGAAAAACCGATTGGGAACTATACCACACCAATCTCGTAGACAACCTGGACCAAATAGATG